CTGTCGAATGCTTTCGTGGAGTGAATTACCAAATCAGCCATTAGCAAGTTGATTGTTGAATAGTGCACGTTGAACAGTAAAAGTGAAACAGTATTTTTACTAATTCATTACTTTCGGTTGACAGTGAATATGAATCAATATTAAATACAAATTAGCACTTTCTCAAAAAGATATTGATTGAAAGCTAATTGTATCTATATGGAATCCAATGTGATCAGATAAATGGGTCTGAGCATCTTGAAACTCTGGTCCGATATTGATTGGTTGATTCTCAAGAATGACCTGAGCTGATATCATCTGAATATCTGAATCGTTGGATGGGCTTTAGCTGATTCAACAGTTGATGGGCTTAACGATTCATGTGGCTTTGGAAATTGGCTTTACTTTTTGGATTCCCCTTGGCTGAAACGGAGTGAATGGGCTTTGTCTGACTGGTTGAGCAGCAACAGCTTTGGACTTTGATTTTGTGATTTGGCGGGAGCCACTGGATGAGGGGCTGCCAGTTGACTGGAGGAAGACTGGCTGGCTCCTTGAGTGATTGCCGCAGTTGGGTTCTGCTGGGCTTGAGCAAGAGCAGGAAGTAGAGCATATTGATCAGGTGGAAACTTACTGGAACAATTTCAAGAATCTGGGAAATTGAATTTATCCCACCATTTAACTGTGTGTTGCGCGATGATAATATTATCACAATCCATAATTCCACTTTGAATATCCAGGAACCTTGTTATTGGCAATGAATATGAAATAGGAAATTGCCTCTGTGAGCAGAAAATGGGTAAACAAGTGAAAATGAATTATATTTTGAGATCATCAGGAAGGATAGCTGAAATGGCGCCATAGTGAGACCACTCCTCAGAAACCAAGTTGGTAAACTCAGATTTGAATTTTTGATCAATGAATGAACCAGGAAGACTGAAAAGTCATTTTTGTACAAAAAATCTTTGAACCAAAATCCAACCCGTAATCATGATATTGTATGGAATAAATGACCAGGTAGGTCACGAAGCGATTTAGGATTTCCCATTCAGTCAATGAAACAATGTTGTGAAATAGAGTGAATGGTATAGGACCTTATAGGCATAGGTGCGGTCCTGAATTGGCTTGATTAAGATGGAATGATGGTTGATAAATATCTTGTAATAGCTAGAGTTTTCTCTGGATGAAAGGGTGAAATGGCATCCAGAGCAAATGGAATTAGTAATGTCCATTGAGGTTGATTTTCTTGGGTGACTGGGTTCTTTATAGAACAGGGTGTAACATGTGAATTGGCATATTCAGACCGAGATAATTTAACAGTGTTAACTGGAATGGAGTACTGAAACTGATTGGTAGATACAAAAGATCAAGACAAGGCCGGAGCAATGAATATAATCAGGGCGTGGAATAGTACAGGGTTTGACGGTTAATGAGGTCAAGTAAAGAGGGGGTAACTGACTCCAAAGGAGGAGGGACAATGAGTTGATTTGGTTTATGGGAAAGAGCCAAAGCTTTGAGGAGGCCTGGTCGAGACATCTTTGAAATAATAAACATGTATTAGCAACCAGAAAGAAGATCTAAATAATCTTGATGATGAGGAAACAATGGTAGTTGTGAGCAAGTAAATGCGGCGAGCTTGATCTGTTGTAATTGATAACTGGGCTCTTT